ATTCTAAGAAAAAATTTGTTTTTGAAAAATCCCTGTACACCCCCTCAGGGTTGGATTGGTCAATAATGACAATTTTTTCGATAGCTCAACCATTTCTTGGCGGATCCTTCTCATCTTCGAATTCGACTGAGACATTAATGAGGCTGAACTGTGTAGAAAAGTTCATCATGATCTAAATCTCCTTTCGAGAGTTATCGTGTAAACGGACGGCCGGACACACTGACCGATTCTAGAGTGTACTCACTTTTTTGAGTACACAAAAAAACTGCATTTGTATTTTTGCAAAGAAATGTCTTTAATAATATCTGGCCTCGGATTGCAAGTTTTTGAAAATGTAAGAACTAGCACAGGATCAAACTTTTTAAAAATACAGGAAAAGGTGTAAAAAATCAGAAAAAATAGGATATTGAAAATTCGTTGTTCAGATTCGAATTAAACGTTGTTTTAAACTTTTCCTGCATCAACTTAACATATGCACGAAATTTTTGTCAATATTTCATTTTAATTCTTTCTTAAATTAAATTGAGTGAATCAGACACAATTAAATTCAATCGAAATGACAGATCGTTACTTGTAGAATTTCAGTCTCTACAAGCTGGCCTATTTTGTTTTGACTTTCCTAGCTAAGGACAATGTAAAATCTTATACACTTTCTAACTCAATCTACCGCTTATGAGCTTCCATACAGATGTATCAATTTCGTTTTTGTGTATAACGATTAGTTACAAAGAAAAGGCTATTACTAATAAAAATCAAATAACTCTGATCATGCTAAGTGCTTCAAAATTGGTGAAGAAAAACTGTACCTCAGCGTTACTAAAACTGCCACGTTGTTACCTTACACGTTTTATCTAAGAAAAAATAGCTTGGAGAAAACGCTTTTAGTATTTTAAAGCCTGGTCAAAAAGCACTACAAAACTAACTCGAGAAGTGTTTCATTTGGAGAAATAGTTGCAGAAGAAACTGCAGCTTATTAGTGACCTTGAAGAAAAGAGTCTTTTTATGTCACTGTCAAGCAACCAACACTCCTCTCTATAACCAAGAGACTTAATACAAAAATGGTCATGCTATGGCATAAACATATCATGACAAGTTGCATCATATCACGTTTGAACGAACTTTCCAATTCACACAATTTCCAAGGTAATGAAAAACAAAGTGTGTCAAAAATAGGTCACAGCGTTACGCTTGAACAAAACCATTTACGTAACTGCATATGATAGGCAACAATAAAAGCTTTTAAAAGACACACAACTATTTATAAATAAAGCCCTGCAGGGTGCGCGTAACCTGGCCTGCCCTGTTTTGGCCTGTCAGGGCAGGTTACAGGTTGTCCATATCGTAACCTGTTAACCTGAGATTAATTTTGAACAACCGACATTTCCGGTATCTTTTAAAAAAATTATGCATGAAGAAAAATGAATTTACCGAGACTAAATCGCTCATAATATAAAAAATGATCGGCTATGATAGATTGCAACTAGTTTTGTTTATTCGATATTTTTTTATTAGAAATCTTGAAGAAATCAACCATTATTTTTATCCGATTCAAATTTGGAGTACATATAATTAAATGTATTATAAATACTGATAGGAAATTTTGGATATTCCTCTATTTTAAAAATAGCAGGACAGGACAGGGCAGGGCAGGTTACAGGTTATAAAAATCCTGCATCCTGCAGCCCTATATTTATAAAGACTATTTTACTTTGTTTGAATATCTTTACTTAAAATAGTCAGTTATTTTCATTTAATCCGTTTGTTAATGTAAAAAGAAATCGTAAATAAAATAGAGTCCCTGTAAAAGAATTCTAAGAATACAAAAGAATCAATAATTATCGAATAGATTCGTTTAAAAAAACACGCCAATTATATTAAAACAAGAGCGTTTTTAGCAATTTTCTACTTTTTTCATTTTTATAGGAAATGCAGGAAAATTCATCGAAATATAGGAGAAAAAATAGGATTCTTTTTAAATATAGGAAATATAAGAAATATAGGACGAATCCGAGACCAGATAATATAGAGATTATTAAAAATATGTCTTCAAATGAAGTTATTTTTTGCGATGACGATTGTCGGTGTTAGATTTAGGTTAAGATCAATATCAAATCAAAGAATGTTGTATGTGAGTAGAGAAGATGTAAGCCACTAGTGATAGCGATTGAACATCGTCGTTGTCTCTTTTAGATTTATTCGATTTCGGATTGATTTTGATTGTGTTGTTCGTGTAGTGCGTTTCTGTCGGCTTTTTCAGTTGGTCGAATCATTAGCATAGGGTTATATCAGCCTGTAGCGCACACTTGATATACAGAAAAATGTTAAATAGCAAGGGAAAACTACATGTCCTTGATCTCAGTGTTGATAGTTGAGGTTTGTTGCCAGAAAATCAATAGCATTGTACATATGCCTTTATATGCAAGTATATGTGTTATATTATTTTATATCTAAATTATGGATTCTTGTCATAGGCGGCGGAGCCATTAGGCTCGCGAGGCTCAAGCCTACCCTAAACTGGAAGTGGGTAGACCTTGATAGATTGAAACTGGAACAGAGAAATGTTTGGATAGGTTGTTATATGCAAAATGGTTTTATTCTTGTTTAATTTTGGGGCTTTTCTAACAAATAACGCATTATTACAAGATCATTTCATATTTTCTCTACTAGTAACTCGTTCACAATGAAGAATTAGTTGAGCGTTGTTGGCATTAAAATTGAAATCTAATTCGAAAATTCTTAATTTAAAATAGCTGAATTGTTTCTGTAACTTCTGTTTAAAATTACTTTTAAATCTTAGACACGCGAATAACATTACTTGTGCCGTGCAGAAATGCGAGCGAAACAAAAATGATTAAAAGCCGATCAAAATCATATGCTTATAGTTGACACTTAAAGTGCTTTTAGTCGATTTCAGCCTGACTTCAACTCTACTTTTTTTTCAATGGTGAGACTTGATTTGTCCAAAACGTTGAGCCTACCCTAGATCGAAATCGTTCCACCGCCTATGATTCTTGTAGCTAAATATCGATGCGTTTAACCAATGTTCTGCATATATTCCTCTTCATCCATATCTAGTTGATATTTTGGTTTTTAAATAAGAAGTAAATCATAGATTGAATTCTAGATATAAAAAAAAGTGCACCAGTGCGTTTCTCTATTGAATACGTTTGTAGTCATAATATACTTTTAGATACAGAGCTCTTCCGATGAAAATACTTATTCATACATTTATTTTCAAGCATTAACACAAGGTAATGACAAAGATATCAATTACTCATATTTTTCGTTTTAATGGTATTTTTCTTATAGAGACTAAAGAGCTTTATTTTTATGTTTCATCAGGTGGAAACGAATTTCAAAAGAAAGATTACTAAAAAGATGTTTCATATGGTTTCTCTTATTGGATAAATCCTAAGATTTCAATAAGGAGCTTTAAAATAACAGTTTATGATAGTATTTACTGACACATGATGAATAAAAGTACTCATGCTCGCTTTATTCTAGTATTATTTATAATTCACTTTGTATATGAACCTTTTTTTTATTCATGTTGCGCTTTCTGTACGAAAAACACCGAATAAAAGTCATGCTTTTTAATATAAGAGAACATGTGACGTCGTCAAAATTCAACGACGCTTTTCCTGTCGATGTACTTTTTTCTTAAGTTGCTTTACGGTATAATTCTTTTAGATTCTGTTAGTTAATATCGTTATTATATCAATTGACTACATGTTTAACTACTGCAACCACTATCAAAATTGGCAAGTCGAACCGACGTAGTTGCTATATAGATTTAACAAGAACTTTGATGTAATTTTCTATTTTAATAATAGTATACAGGATTTATGAACTTCATATGGGCAAATATACATGAAGGTTGTAATAATTCCGTGTTACTACTATCCTTATAAAATGTTGAATATTTCAAATAAGGAAATTGCGTAACCCGTTTGACGACAGATGTTTAACGAAATCTACTGAAAGCATAATTATGTTGGAAGTGTTTTAGAAGTGAGTGAAATTTTGTGTCAAAAACACTGCAAAGTATCCAGGCGAATTTCGTCGAATAAGTAATGTATGTTTTCTTCGATTCTTCACTCTCACACAAAAGTAACATTCACGTTGAACATTAAAATTTTTGAAAAAAGCACATACTATTGTATGATTGTGCGCAATAACATGATGCTATTGTCAGCAATTTACTTGCATTTTTGTTACTATTTACTTTCGAGGAAACCGAATTTATTATCAGAAAAAAATCATCGTCTCATGTGTGCTTCTTAATCGAGCTGTGAATTTTGCATCGAACTTTTCTTTGAATTAATAAATAGCACCTACAAAATAGACAGAAAATTTTTCTCAAATTTATCCTACAAGTAAGTTAATTGGTTAATTGAGTTTGCTTGAAATTGAGAAATAATTTAAAATATACATCTCTATGAAGCAACTACGGGAGAAAAATGAACAAAGAAAAACAAAGCGATGAGTCATGTATAGGCAAAAGAAAGGAAGTGAAGCGAGTGAAAACTTGAATTTAATGCTTTGCAATAAGTACAATCACATATTCATTCAAATTGCAACACATCGAAATTTCTTATGCATAGTAAAAAGACAATGTACATCCTATGTATGGACATAGTGTCTATATTTTTGTTTTCTTAGGGTTATTTTCAATCGATGTACGATATATTTATAAACGATAAATCATTGTTTCTACATCAATATTGCATTGATTTATTTACTAATGTCTAAGACATAGTATGTTTTAGTCATCTGAAAAGCCAAAGATTCTATTTTGTTTCAACAATTGAAAAGATAGTCAAACAATAGTTGTTTTTTATTTTCAGATCTGTATCTTCATTTCTTATAACTTCTCACCTACACACTCATTCGTCGAATCTGATTAAATGGTTGTAAAAGAGTGGCGTAATGGTGACAAATATGAAGGAGGTTGGGAGAATGGTGAAAAACATGGGCAAGGCACATTATTTTATGTAGATGGTGGTAAATATGAAGGTGAATGGGCTAGTAATATGAGAAATGGTTATGGAGTTAATATTTGGGCTAATGGCGATCGATATGAAGGAGATTGGCAGAATAATTTGAAGCACGGCGAAGGAAAACTTTTTTATGCTAATGGTGGTAAATACACTGGAGAATGGAAGAACAATATAAGACATGGCCAAGGCGTAAATATCTGGAGAAACGGCACTCGCTATGAAGGATTTTGGAAAGAAAATCAACAACACGGTAAAGGAACATTTACTTATCCAGATGGAGGAAAATATGTTGGCGAATGGTTAGCAAATATGCGACATGGAAATGGAGTAAATACTTGGAAAAATGGTGATCGATATGAAGGATTGTGGGATCATAATAGAAAACATGGTAAAGGAACATTTTATCATGCAGACGGAACCGAAGAACATGGTATTTGGAATAATGATACATTAAATGGAGATTCAAATCAAGGATCCGACAATAAAAAGCCAAAAAATGACAATAATTCAAAAAATGCATTACAATTCAAAGGCTTTTGGTTAAATGGCCAACCATTTGTAGTTTTATTAATGCCGAAATCACCTGTTTGTCCTTATTTGACACTTGGACGTGAATTTATTGTTTCATTAAATTGGGATAAAGCGTATTTTGATCGTACTCATGATAATTGCTATTGCAGTCGATGTTATAAGGAATCCTGGAGTGATGTGATTGAAGCTGGTGACGACAGATATGTTATTCCTCGTGGATGGGTACGTTTAGGTCTTCATATCGATCCAATTCATATGAAAGCAGAAGATATTTGGAATAGATGGATAGTAACATTTCATGGCACGACTAAAATTGCTGCACAATCGATTATTAAACATCGTCAATTTTGTCTTCCGGGTGATGTATTAATTGATGGTACTAAACTGGGTATTCGCCCGGGACATATTCCCGATAAACAGTTTATTTATACATCACCAACGATAGCTTATTCAAGTGGTTTAGCATATAGTCCAATTTACGATTTTCACTCTACAGAAAACAATGCTAATTATCAAACACAAATCGTTCTACAATGTCGACAAATGCCTAATACTTATAAAATCGGACCAGAAACAATAGGAGCAGGGGAAAATCAGATTTGTTCACATATTTCGAATTCTGAGATTGAATATTTTACGGATAGAAGAGGATCATTAGTTGCCTATGGAATACTAGTAAGATTTCGATCAAAAAATAATTAGTAATAATGTGAAATTATTATTTCATTCTCATTCATCACTTGAAACATTCAATGCGTTTTTCATAAGAATTTCTGTTTGTTTAGTTTAAACAAACGGAAAACACACAAATTCAATTATTCATGTAACATTTGCCATTTTGTTTGTATTTATTTTGACTGAAAAATACACATAGTACCGTTTTTAATATGATAGTACGTTGGAGTAAATTAAAGTTATGTCTCACAGAACAGTGCTATGATAACCTTCAAACTTAGATTTAAAAAGATATGTTTTTGTTTTGAAGAATTGATACTATGATCTGTATAATAGAGATCTGGGTCCATTGAAATATAATTAAACTGTAGTCTTATCTGTATTTTTTGTTCATAATAATAATAATAATAAATAAAATTTATTTATTAAAATCTTGAATTTTTATTGAATTCAACAAAAGATTCATCAATTTTTTGTGCTAGTTTATATGATAATTCATCAATAAGTATTGTATATTACGATTCCACTCAAGAATTCTTTCGCCAAGATCTATTCAATGCAAGTTCCAAGGTCATTACATTGTCTTCCTTTATTTTTGTTTTGTTTGTTATTGACCAAAGATCACAACAAACTAGGTGACTGAACGTTTTCCTTTGCATTAGAATTGAATATTTATTCATACAACTTTGTTTCGAAAATGCGTTACGTATATATGTATATTCATGAGCGATTTATCGATAGATATGAATTCAATTCAATACGAATTCTATGAGTCAAATCTATGGCAAGTCATCATAATTCATATCATATTCCATAACTAGATGTTCGAATGAATTCTATTGACTTTCCGTTCTTTTTCTTCTTCTTAGAATAATACTTGATTTTTAACTTTTACTGTAGGATTCAATTTAGTCATCGAAAAAAAACCAGTATTCAAAAAAAAGTTACTACTAATTCCTAGATGAAAAATAAGCCAACGAACCAATGACAATAGATGGCACATAACCAACTCTTTGCATTGTTTTTGGGTCATCTGAACGTGGACATTGTGCACTAATCTTTAAAACAGAAATAAAATATATATTCTATTGAATTTAGTTGGATTTCTATTTAATATACAGATCGATCTCTTTGTTATACGAACTAACAATAACAACAGCAGCAACAATTTTATATTACGAAAAAGCCTTTGTCTCGATAAACCCATATCAAAGAAGACTTTTCGTGTCTTAAAGAATGTCACCTAGCTCAGACTGGTTTCTTTTTAACATAACCATCGTGGTCTAAAGGCCATAATAACGATTTTCAACTGAGCAGTCAAAACATTACTAGATTTACGCCAACACATTGAACTATTTAAGATCGCTTGCAATTAAGAAACAAGAAAAGTACTCTCGTCATTACATTTCTGTTAATTATCTTGCATAACTCAAGTAAAGAAATTCGATGGATGCTGCTTGTTTATCTAGATATATACAGCCCACGGTCTACTCCCATTTTTTGAAGAATTTTAATACGAGACAATAGTGGTAAATAAATCATTTGATAATAGATACAAGTGCATTTTATATAATATACTTGATTTCATATATTCTTCTGTTTGGTGTTTTGTATGTCATTCCATCAGTTTCGTTTCTTGCATCACGAATAAAAATGTTTGCAAGCATTGGCCAACAACAGCCAGAATAAAAAAATAAAGTGTGCATATATTCTCAATGCAAGAATATTTTGAGTGAATTCATCTCAGATGATTTCATTTTACTCGAATAATGCAACCTTCAAAATTAAGCAATTATGACAGGCTTATTTTAGGAAAAAGTCATTGGAGAAAGAAAAAAATATATGCAACAAATATTACATGAAAGACAATACTCTGTAGAAACGCATCGGCTTCATAAGGAGACTGTTGATCTACTTTAAAAAAATCATTTGTAGCAATATGTCGGAACAAGAAAGTTGTCACAAATTGAAAGCAGCAAAATCGGCTCGAATTTGTCCTGACTTTCAACATCGAAATCAATATGTTCATCGTGAATTTGTAAGATTATTGTTATTACGATCAGAGATGAACACGGGATACCATGAAATAGCACGGAGAAAAGTTTTACGAATGTCCTTTTAAATATTTCTCACGTTTCAGTCTTGATCATTTGTCAAATCTTTTGATTGCTGACATCTGGAAAAAATAGATTCTTTCATCACAGAGTTCGTGTTTTTTTCACCTAAATATTTCTTTTTGTTCTTAGAATACGACTTGATCAATGAAGTCAACAAATATGAATTGAGATCTGTCTCATCTGCCAGTACAAATTCAACAGTGTCGAGTGAAATCTATGACAGAGTTGAATCTTCATCCATGGAAATCGTTCGATTTTCAACTGATATTAATCATTCGTCTCGATCAAAATTTCCTCGTTGGGGTGTGGGTGTGTAGATGCAAGGGAAAGCTATAGTGAACGGATGGCTGATAGCTTAGTCGTTTACTCACATGAGAACGATGCTACTTCTTTATATGGTTTGTTTAATTCATCACAGCATTAATTCGTTAGTATTTTTTATTCTTTTTGTGTACTCCAAAAAAATGAGTACACTCTAGATTCGGTTAGTGTGTCTGTCCGGCCGTCCGGCCATTAGCAAAATAACTTTTGAAAGCCTCATCCAATTGTCATGAAATTTTGTACACAGAATGATCTCATCAATATGTCAGTCGAGTTCGAAGATGAACGCAGTCCATCAAAAATTTGATGAGTTACGCAAAAAATATCCTACTTTTCTATGTGAATAGTGACCTATTCTATTTTATTATAATTTGTTTCTCAAACGAGCAGATTTATCATAATCAAAATAATTCTTCAACTGTCATATACCATTAGATTGGGGATTTCATGGGCTGCAAGATGATGCTAAATTATAAGGGTAAACAAGTTGCTCACAAGATTCCTCTGTATCAGTGTCGAAAAACTCATATATCTTGATAATGTGCCGGTGTGATATTTGTTTATTTTTCATATGAGTAATACCAATTTTTTCAAAGTAAATAGAACCCGTCACTTCGGAACAGTCTTTATGAGTTGTATCTTCAATACTGTATTCGTTCCTCTTTCTAGTTTTGCTGTGCATGATATAAAACATTTACGACGAAATAGGAACAGAGAAAAATGGATGTACATTTTTGCTTTTTGAAGTACACATAATAATCGGATGCAAATCCGATGTTTCCGCATTTATTCATATTTAATTAACGTAAGGTTTTAACACTATCTACTGATCGCATGATCAGCGAAGTCATGCATTGAGTAAATAGGTAAAAAATGGATCAAATATACGACAACATTGTATATTAATATAATTGTCACGATTTTTAAGTAAAATATTACGGAAGAAATTATAACTACAAAATAGTTGGTATTTATTTTTAAATAAACGATTCTATTAATAAGTAAAAGTCGAAAAGTCTATCAGTACATTTTTATATTTTTATTATTGTAGAATAACACGCCAATTATATTCTGATCGCGTGTAGACTAGTTTTGTTGAGCATTAGCATCTAAAAAAACGTTCGGTATCAATCGAAACGATTGAATAATAGAACTAATATTCATTTAAATAATACCAAATAGATAATAATCGAATTTCGTTTTGACATCTAATTAATTTATCTAAATATATCAATTTAGCATTATGTGTAATAATCTCATTGTAGTCTTAAATCATCGAAATTCTATTTAAAGACGTGCAAATTGATGTAGTACAGGCTCCGCTGATAAATCAGCTGAAATAAAAAAACGATTGAATGGCATTTTAAATACCCTTGAGAAAGCTCCATAGAGAAGATCAAACTTGAATTGAATTGAATTTTATTTTTAATTGCTGTTTCCGTTTCTATTGTTTTTCTGTGTACTCAAAAAGTGAGTGCACTCCAGAATCGGTCAGTGTGTCCGGCCGTCCGTTAACACGATAACTTTTGAAAGCCTCATCCAATTGTCATGAAATTTTGTACACATAATGATCTCATTAATACCTCAGTCGAGTTCGAAGATGAGAAGGATCCGTCGAGAAATGGCTGAGTTATCGAAAACATTGTCATTATTGACCTGATCATCCCTGAGGGGGGGGGGGGCCCAGGAATTTTTTTTTAATGACCAATTTTTCTCAGAATTTTTCNACATCCACACCCCCACCCCCGGCCCCCCCCCCCCCCCCCCCCCCCCCCCCCCCCCCCCCCCCCCCCACAGGAATTTTTTTTTAAAGAACAATTTTTCTCAGAATTATTCAGAACATATATAAATCGACTCAATTTTTAATGCTAATTCCGAATCTGATATTAGTTGTGAACCAAATCGTAGCTTTCTAACAAAATATCGCCTGAAAAATATCTCAACATGCTCAAAAGCTGCATCCAGAAACCAAATTGCCTAGATATGTCTCAGATGATCAGTAGTTTGGGATTTTTCAAATGCCTGGTTTTGTAGCTAGACAAAAAGACTATCGAACGGTAAAAACTCGAACTCGACAGCTATTAATATTGGTGATTTATTAGGAAAATACTGATGCCTGTATCTCTCATATATCTCTTATAGATTCATGAGGTTGCTTACGATCATAATCCCGCTAAAAACAAATGGAAGTCCATTCAAAAATAACTCTTCTTACCCAGTTTTCCAAGCTAAACACGAATTTGAACTCGATTTCTGTGATTTCTAAAGATATTATATCACTCTAAAAGTAGAGCCAGCGGCCACCGGATAGGCTCGCATACAGTCTGGCCAATGCTATTGATGAGATCTATGCCTTATAGAATAAATGCGAAAACCTCGGATTAAAATCCGATGTTTCCATATTTATTCGTATTATATTTTACGAGTCTCTCTCTCTCTCTCTCTCTCTCTCTCTCTCACACTCTTACTGGCCTCTAAAAATAAACTACAAACAAACAATATCTTGTACGGCTGAAAATAGAAGAAAACTCATCACGAAGAATACTTATCTTCTATTTTCTTAATTAGACTCTTACTCTCTGTTCTATTTTAATTTTCAAAATAAGGATATTAGAAGTAAATGAGAAATTTTTTAATCGTTCTAAAGGTGTGTGAGATTCTTGTTAAGCACTGTATAATCATACTAATCTGTATAGACACGAAAAGTTTATAATGATAAAATAGGATTTGGTATTCCATGGAATTCTTTTAATAGAACGATTGCTGGGAAATTGATAGAATTATGACTTTGTGCTAAGAATTTCAATTTCTACGAACTATTTTTGGTAAACTCGATTTGAAATTCATGATCATTCTGTTGAAACGTGGACGGATGTTACCGGAAAAGGAGTTTCAGGATATTTATTTCAGTTTCCCGTATGACATTCAACTTGCAGCAATACTTGGAATTTTTGCTTTCCGGAAAGGATATCTTTTTTCCTCACCGTTTGTTAACGCATTCCAGCGACCTTCAGTTATTTTCAGAATTCGACATTGTAAATTAATTATGCCGATTTTAATTAGTAAAATGAATTTCATCATCGAAATTGTTATTGTTGCTTATTATTGAATACACTGAGTTTCTTTTATGTTTTTTACTCGGCATGCCCGACAGAACCAGAGAGAAGAAGATTTAGATACGGTTAGCTTTCAGCACGATTCCATCCTGCACTACAGATAGGGAAAGTTTCAATGGCAAATACATCTTCAATACAAAATGTTGGTCATTAAAAAGGGAATTTCTTATCGTCTTAAAAATTCATCAAACGTATAAAAACATGACTTTCATTACGTGTGCTTTGTATATCATGCTTATCATTAGATAAAGTGTTTCCTGTCATAAATGTACTAGCGTCGAACACCAACGATTGTTGTTTTTGAAGATGTGCTTATAAACTAATTTATAGACGAAAATATTATCGCAGTCATTCAAAGTAATAATTAGACGCCAGTCGGAACTAATAACCTTTTTGTTTTTTCACGGTTACACGATATATAATATTTTTTTCTCTACTCTTATTTGTTTGATGATGCCAACGACAGGATATCATCAATTTGTTGCTATAAACAAAAACAAAGACATTACTCATAGAAGCTCGATCTTCTAGACAAGTAAATTATTATGTAGCCATTTACTCACAGGACTGACTGAAGCAATGTTTATCATAAATTATACTTGCAGCACAAAAGAAAATTTTAATCTCTTCATATAAGTAACTAAGAAAATAAAGCTATTTTGATTTATTTATAATTGTTCTAATGTCAACGGTTATTAATACATCCTGAAATATGTTGAAATATTATTGCTGCATTTTTATATGCGAATCACTGTAGAACCAATCTACAGATTGTGTTTCGACGAGCTATAGAAAATTTTCTTCGCCATACCGTCGGTATCTTGAATACACTGATAATCTAAGTCTCATATTTGCTCGCCTTTAAATAGCTAAATCTATATTAAATTCATTGATATCAAAAACAAAATAATTCTTCATTCCCCCAGATTTTAATGCAATTTATCTCTCTAAATTGGCGCATTTTTTTTCTTAGCAACAACAGAACTTTATTCAATGCTCAATTATAAAATATTCCAGTTAACTATATTCATCTCGACGTGTAATTGACTTCCGTGATTAGGGGGTTTTTCGTCATTAGTAGTCGAGATTTATGAAGTGATCCATTCAAACCTAATGTGAAACTTTTGGAATAGAACATTCTTTTATCATTATTTCAGTGTGACATAACGAGAAGGGTAGACTGACCCAGATCATCATCAACTCTCTAACTGAAAAAAAAGCCTTATATGTCCTCCCAGGTCTCGAATGAAATAAAACCGTCTTGTAAAATAGAAGTTAAATCAATTAAAATGACAATTAATCTTTATTTACAACAAATTCGATTAATAAATAACAAAAAAAGAAAGAACATTAAACATTTTTCTCGTGTCACATTAATAAAAAAAACAGTTCTTAATTGATATGATTTCTTCTTTAATGTTTTAATGTGTGTTCGATTTCTTTCCACACGAAACTTTTTTCTGAGTTTTCATGAGCTGAATTAATATCTAAAAATTGTCTTAAATACTTTTGTGGTGCTCTTAAACTATTTGAAGTAAAATTTTGATTACAAACTCCTCCATTTATAAGAATAACATTGTTATTGTTAGAATTTAAATGAATTCCTTCCTGATTATTTGACGGCGTTAACATGATTGAGCGATTTAAATCATTTTGCGCACTTAAACCATCAAGACTATCGTTCGTTTTTTTACGACGTAAATGAACTAATGTGAATGCACGCCGACGTTTTATACGGCACCGACGAAAGTAATATGTTAAATATAGTTTAAGTGTTAGACGAAATTTCGGATTAATTGAATAAATATAAAAATTTGCACCATGATTTATAGTTAACATTATATTTGATATACAAAATAATTGAATTCGTATTTTACTAAAATACCGTTGCCGTTGTAGACTAAACCATGGTGCTATCAGTACATGTATAACTTCGAATAGATGCGTACTACGACATACCATATAAACAGTTAATACACATACAATCATCAATGTTATACGAAAATATGTATCTTGTTTACGGTCGTTACGAAACGCTGTGTTGACAATTTTTTTTGTTAGCTGAGTTTGTGCTGAACGTAATGCACGTATTAAAAATAGCCATATTAGAAAACATATTAACCAGGGAATCAATAACGATATTATTACCATAGTTGGATAGAAATATCGAGAGAAAAATTTCGTTCGCAACAATGGTGCCGTTCCGAGACTATAATATTTTATTAAACCATTTTGAGTGCAAGAAACTCGAATACTTGTATAGATAAACAGAGGTAAATTAACAAGTATTGACAAGAATAAAATGATTACTATTGCATAACGAGCAGTACGTCGATTGCAATAATGTTTTGCCACTAATGGTTTCTATAATTAGCATAATTAAAATATTTTTTTATTTTCATACTTTGTCTATGACGTTACAAGCAAAAGCGTTATTTTCAATTCTTTTAATAGTTTATCTTCAACGCAATAAAACATAGTAAGCTACTTAGTCATCATATTTTATGCTTATTATGATGAATTTTAAATCTGGACAACCTCTGAGAGTTTCATGATCAATGGTTTTTTTTTTAGAGTGATAGTTCAATTAGTAAATGCTAGAAAATATTCTCTATAACAACGTCATAGGGAAACAAAATCAGGGTAATTATTCAACCATCAATAATTGCTTATGAAATAGCTACGAGAATATCAATAGACGAAAAAGAAACACTATACTTCAAACCAAGAAAAAAAAACGTTTCGAGTGACTTCAGCAGGTATCGTCATCATTGGAATTTTAGCTGCTCTTTTCTGATGAATATTTTATGCTTATGACGGAAGCAAATTGCACGCATGTAAAAAGGAAACAATTTAGTAACTGAGAACATCATGATCTTCAGTCCATGGACTAGTTTTCAAAAATATATTCTTTTTCCGATATTGATAACGAACTATTACTCCTTTTCTGCTTACAACTAATGTTTGGATGAAAAAAAAAATCATTCGATTATGTTTTGTGAATGCAACACATCGTTTTAAAGACTTCCAGAAAATGATAATTACGTTACATGCTCGTGAAATGCAATTGGTTATGTGGGATGCTCAGTTTATAATCATAGGAAAGAAGAACAAATACTTGTCAGAATTTGTAACCAACATTCTACATATACAATTTCTTTCATGACACATTATAATTAATTATTTAATTTTGATTGCTTTAATAAATACAAAAATTGTCCTTAGGTCTCTTACTCTCTCTCTCTTTATATATATATATGTGATTATCTTTATTAGATTAGATTAAATATTCTGTTGCTCTTTTACCTTGACAACAATTAATCGAAATGTTGTGATTAATACAATGAGCCAGTTGCTAAATGTTGTAAATACGTTTGCTAAAGCATTGAATATTGATCGGGCGAACATATGGGTAGTTAAAAATGTCGATGAATAATTCATGCGTGGTAGAAAATAATAGAATAATATATTGTTAAATGAAACAACTGTCGGAGGTACGAGATCGGCCCATGCGAGTGTAACCAATAGTGTTGTCATTGTTGATCGCATATGACGTCGAGTTAGAACAAATAAATTAATTAAATTACCAGCATCTGCTAGTACTGATAATACAACGCTGATAACACCTAATGTCCAGAAGGCAAATGGAGAGCGAAAATGTGCGTCGCTATTACGACTTGGATCTAAACATTGCCGTTTCTACTTACAAGGGGTTAATAGTCAAAGCAATATATTTACCTTCAGTGCAATTCATTGAAATAAGATAATATGCAGTAATAGCTGTCAATGAGAATCAATCTGAAATAATAAACATATATTCTTCTTTTTTTCTGCATGTAACCAACCACAATTAAAAAAAAAGTAACGACTATGCAAATGGAACATGTTTAATTACTTTTCTTATTTGTATTCTGATTACGAGCGACATATAATTTGTATAATCATAAAGTCATTAGTATACTTATAAATTTCATACTCCAATGAAAGTACACATGATTCCGATAAAAATATGCGAATCCTGCTTATTGAAAGCCGTTCAAGCGAACTTATCCTAGTGCATGAACGCATGACCAGGAAAGATACAATGGAAGTTCAGCTAGTTTGAAATAGCTCATAATGACCTTTACGTAGAGATATTTTGATATTTCAAAATAATATCTAATTAGTAGAGGCAGAAGAAGAAGAAAAAGCTATTTTGGTAATTGAAAGACATCCTTGAGAATATCTCGTCTGGGAAAATCAAATGTCGTTGCAACTATTTCGCTCTTATCTACGAATTGTATACAATGATTTGCTTGAGTAGAACTACTGAATGGAAACGAATACAATTGACATCTAATTGTTGTTCTACATAATAGCTAATGAAAATCGTTTCTATTTTAAAACCTACTCCTATTTCTTTCCGTTTAGTTTTCATATAAAATATTTACCAGTGCTAATTTATTGTTGACATTGATCAAAAGAAAACAAAACCTATGTATTACTTACTGAAAACATGGTTAGTATATTGAGCTCTTCTTATTCATCTGTTATCATTTCAAACAGTAGCGTTTTTTTTCTCTTTTTGGAAAAGAAGAAGAAAATTCTATAAGAAAGCGTGAAAAAAAAAGACTTTTTGGTTTCTAAGGAAAGAATGGACGTAGTGATAGTTATCCTACTTTTCTAGTAGCACTAATATTTACATCAAATTTAAATAGTAACAAAAAAAACGTACCTAGCCGGATGTATCTTCAAGTATTTCCTTCTGCTTTTTGTTTTTCTTACAAATTGTACGCATGCTGCATGAAGCAAAATATTTAGACAAAACGAAAATATGTTGATTAGATATCAGCCGAATAAGAAAAAAAGTATATATATACACATCGTCGCATGCAGACAAGGCATCAGTGCTTGGAGATAAAGCTTAATTTTGATAGAACGCGTTATTCTCGTAATTCGGGAATGTTTATGTTAGCTAAAGAAAAAAAAAACGTTATGCTTATCGTTGTAGACGTTTCTTTCTCTAGCTCTTCATAAGTCTTTGTTTTCTGTTAGACCATATGATCATTCATTACCATTGACGAAACAACACTAAATGAAAATCGCTTGCTTATTTTTCTCGGCATGCACCAACGTGAATGAGACATACAACTTTCTTCTAGTCATTTACTTCTCTCATCAAAGCCTATTTATAGAGACACGAGAGACCGTCAAGTTTTTTTTCTTACCATTTGGTCTATTTATTGTTTTGTAAATAGTTCTATTAAAAAGAAACTCGATAAATATAAAGAAAGAATCGTAACTAGAATCACCTTTTGTTTTGATACAATAATACTAGAAAAACTAATTATTTCCTTTATCAGTGATTTTCTTCAAGAGTCTATAAAATAGCCATGAAAAGAAAGTACACAGTATTTATATATAAAAACTGATATTGATTTCTTATGTTCTTCATAGTTTTGAATAGAAATAGAGGAGGAGAAGGGGCGGGGGGAGAAATATCTTTAGATTTCCTTCTGAGAGCTTATAATAAATCAAGATTAAAAGGGAGAAAAGTAAGCCTTCATAGAAATCTCAAACTAATGATTTCCGATAATGAAAATTTTATTTATTATCAATGATTATTATATATCTATCTCTATGAGAGAATAGTATTACTGATTGGGAAAAATCAAATGGACAATAGTAATCATCTTGCCGATTTTAAGTGCTAGAATGGATAGAAGTGATTCAATGCTCAACACGTTTGATATTGTTTTATTCAATTATATATTGAACAGCGAAAAGCAAAAAAATCTATTAATCTTTTGGTGATGCTAGACACGATGAATTTCTCCTATGTGTGCATGCGTGATCTATGCCTCTGTGGATATGCAGTCCAGTTACGAAAAAGAAAATTGACAAATGAAACATGATACTGCTGTGAATAAAGTCTTAGTCTCTCAGATTTATTAGAAATATTTAATTATAATAAAACATAAACTATTCGAAATCATATTTTCTGTCCAATATTATAATGTAAATTAAAGATACGCTTAATGAGCTCGGGTATTATTTCATTTCGCTATCAAGTTTGACATACATGCTTTTTGGTGTGGTATTGTGTTGGCATTGTTTCCTTTCCGCACCTTACCTTTGCCCATCATTAGAAGAAAAAGAAGAAGAGAAACGTAAGTTTCTATTAGTTTCTGTTTTCATGAATACTTCGTATAGAAGAACAGGATGCCATATGAAATGCTCTATCCCATTTAAACCAGTCGACAGTCTTATACACATCAAATCTTGCTTATTTTCTTTGTATTAAATGATTTACCTGCCTCTCAATGCCTGAAACTATAATATGGAGACACTATTTCTATTAATCTCCACATAATGAGACAGACAGAGATTCTTCTTAGCTGGTGAAATAGATATAAAAATGGGCACGCATCAATGCAAACTAAACATACATAATTCTGACATACTGATAGAAAGGACGGAGAAAAGGAAACGGAAAAGATCGATAGAAAGTCTCAGCAAGTCAATCAGCTTTATAGTGTTCCTAGTGATATTGAAGGCAACATAAGGTGTATTTGCATGCTTATATCTCGGCAGCAGCTTGTTTCTGTATGTGTATTATGAAACAATTATTAAAGCCCGCAAAAATAATAAAACTTGTTGACAAAATTTTCAATGAAACAATCGAGATTTATTTGTACTCAATCATGTTTTATATAATTGAATATTTCTGTCTCTCTCTCTCTCTCTCTCTCTCTCTTCATAGTACAAGCATAGTTCATGTATTCTTGTCATTGTTAATTCGCCCTTATAAAATAGTTGTCTGTATATGATACTTCAATATAAGAAAAAAAGAAAATTTTATTAGTAAAAATACAAAATAATGCTGCTTTTGGTTAAAATATTTATAAACATTTATTATTATTATTAGAAGCGTTGGATAATGTAGCAAAACTTTCTCGTTTTTCTTTTGCTGTTCTTGGCTTTAATGGATCTTCTCGATGTGAAGTCGGCGTTGTCAAATTAAATGATTGCTCAGTATTCATTTCATTTGTTGACGTTAATATATCAGCATCAGTTATGCGTACATGGCGAGATATTGAAGTTGCTAATCGTGGAAAATAAATTCGAACTGGCACATCATATTGAGATCGATTATCCGAATCATCGGCTAGGTCTAATGGTATTGGATTATGATTCAGCTCTGGTAAATTTTGACAATGTTGATGAAATAAACGTTCACGAAAACGAGTTAACCGTGGCGAACCGAATAGTGTTGGTCTTAAATACGGTGGTTTAACTTTCGTATCTATAGATGATTTTTGTTCTGTTTTTGATGAATTTTGCGGTTGCTGCTGTTGTTGTCGATGGCGTTGAAACCATGAATTAATTTGATTGATACACGCACTTTTACTATGTTGAAAAGTCTTTTTAATATCAAAACTTGAACGTTTCGAATTATTATTTAAATCATTTGTTAATGATTTATTATTTAAATCAGTATCATTCGATGCTGTTCCTACTGATGGCGCAATGGTTTGAAAGAGTAATACTGGATCAGGTAGAAAATATTGAGGAAATTCAGAAAATGATACAAGAGATAATTTACGTAATGAACCTCGAGTAATAATACGTCGGATATGAATTCGTTTCGATCGAGTTTTATCTTCAATAGCTTTTGTATTTGCTCTAAAAATACAGATAGGAAAATAAAGTCAGGTTTTTTTCTTCATGCATTCCTTATAAAGAAACTTTCGAATATCAGTCGACATCAAAAGGACGAACTCTTCATGGAAGGAATATAAATATTTTGAGCTTACATTGTTGAACAATTTAGTGATTGTAAATCATTAATAGTATCTTCTTGAAATTCGCGTCGGTCTCTTTTGAAATGTTCAAGTTGATCAAAGAAATCGTTATTGATTAGAATGGCTCGTTCTGTTGCTCTATTCGATGTTCCATCTAAAACATCGGAATAAGCAGCGCTTTGCACAGCTAATATCCATGATGCAGGCATTTCTACTAATGATTGCAGCGAACGACAACGTGGTGGCAAATGTGATTGCTGACATTGTCTACGTTTTTCCATGTTGACTGTTGTTTGTCGTTGAATTAAATTATTAGTACAAAAAATATTTGTTTTTAGCGTTTTTAAATTTGTTTCAAGTTCTTTTAATGAAGTCATTTTTTTCTGTAGATACTCATTGTAGTGACGAAGGGAAATTTCTTCTAACATTATTTCACGCCATTGATGAACTATAAGCGATCGTTGATTAGGTGAAAGTATTGGGCCTAATGTTATTGAATTTGTTTGAAGTTCAAGATTTAATTCATCTACTATCGATGAACCAGTATCACTAGTTGTCGGTAAATCTAGTGTGTTGTCAGACGTGCCATTAACTACTTGTATTAGTGAAGTCTTTCGAGAACTACTTGTTGAATCTATTTTAGGTATGATTGATTGCCGACGATAATTCACTATTAAAAATTGTTTAGAGCAAAGAAAAAATAAAAACAAGTTAGTTTTCTAACCGAGAAATTGACTTTTTTGCATAGTTTCCCATTCACGCATCTTTTGTTGATAGGATTTTGTTAGGGCTGGTGCTAATTGTACGGTTAATAATGCACGATTCAAGCCGGAGCCTATTCAAATGATTTAATAGAAGCAGAAAAGTAAAAAACCATCTATGATAGTCGTAGTAGATTACCAATTTCATCAAATATTGATGTATGCGAAGTATGAAAACGACGCATGGATGATGACGACATGTTTTGATCGCTAAACTGTTTTTTTACATTGACAAGTTTTGAATGAATTTTACGTCGATAACGAGCTAAAATTTATCAGAATCATTAAGGTGTATACAACAAAAAGAAAGTCGATTATACGAGCTAAGTACATAGATTATAATCACTATGGCATTGTCAATTAATATTTAGGCAACAATGTAGTCTTTAGTATTTTTTTCTGATATTTTACATGTACTAAAAAATGACTTGAAGAATCGTTTTGCTTATTTAAGAAAGTTCCGTTAAAGAACTCTCTGGCTTCTATTAGAATATCCTATGTACTTCATAATTTTCTCGATAGCTATGATAAGAAATTCCAAGACTGCAGATATCTTGATAGATAAGATCCATCGCAATTTTAAAACTTCAAGGAGAAAACATAATGACGATAGTAGGATTTCAATTAGTATCACAATGCGAACTTAAAAAATAACCTACTATTATCGGACGATAACCTCGAGAGATCGTCTATTCTTATTATATTCAAATATTTATACTCATAGAGACCGTTGACTCCAATTATCAAGTATGGAATTCCGCTTGACAAATTTAAAAGAAGTTTGTATTGACGATTTTCAATTGAAAAAAAAATCAGCTCTCGAACTTCATTATCGAAACGCCAATTTCAAGAGAAATACTAATTTATTAGCACGGCTTGTCCAAACTTAACGCTGTGACATTTTGACAGATCCTTTTGCAATTATCTTGAAAGGCATAAGATTTAACAAGATCGTTCAAATGTCATTCAACACAGCTTATCATCCCATGCTGCGAATACCGGATCAATTTTTACGGTAAACCGCGGTATTTATCCGTTATGCGGTAATGGGAGCCGGTAACCGAACCGGTAAACCGGCGGTTTTTTGCGCCTGTTTATCACATGTAAAAGTAAAAAAAAGGATCTTTAAAATAGTTTAATTGATGATTTGGAAGACTTTTTCTGTCAAAAATTATAGATGAACCGGTTAACCGCTTTTTTTAGCGGTAACCGCGGTATTAATCAAAATCGGCGGTTTACCGCGGTAAATGCCAGTTCATTTTTTGTGGTAAACTGCGGTATTTATTCGTTCTGCGGTATTTATCCGTTCTGCGGTATTTATCCGTTCTGCGGTAATGAGAGCCGGTAACCGGACCGGTAAAATCGCGGTTAACCGCCGATTTTCATGCGGTTTTTATTACATGGGATACTCTATTTATGTTGAAAGAACGACCTAGTTTGACTGAAATCTCACGCTTCTAGAAAGGTTTTATCATCGCGTAGCATTGTGACAAAAACGACCCTTTTCTTCTAAGGCTGCTTATAAAGCTTTAATTTTTTGACGAATCATTTCTTCAAATGAAAAGCTATTGTACCAGTTTTATAGAGAATTGAATGGGCTTTCAAGCAGTAAAAAATGTTTTTTTCTAACTATTTTCGCTCGGATTAAAAATGCAAAAAACAAGCGTAACGCAGCGACACGTTTTCTTCTCGACCAAATTTGAAGCACTTAACATGCTTAAAAATATTTAATGTTTATATATATTGATCACTGCCCTGCATATATCCTTCTGTAAAAAAATCAAGTTGCTACATCGAAATACGAGCTCAATAATTGTATAGTAGGTTAGAAACTGTACAAGAGCTTAGAAGTTGTCCTGAAGAATGATAATAAAAAACGAATAGGCCATTTTGTAGAGAATCAAATTCTGCATCGAATGGTATATTACTCTGCATTTTTGTTTTAAATTTCTTGGCTAGAAAATTGAAAATACAGTTTTTAAAAATTTTAAAACCCGATTTTCGATGCCAAAACACATTTTTTTTTTAGAAAAAATGTTCAAATTCACAATCAGCGTAAAAAACTATACCAGAAAATACGCTTAGATCTGTATATATCGAAAAAGCAAATTTTTAAAACTGGATCAGCGAAGTAGTGCGTTACGTGGACAAGTCGAACAATAGAATCTCATTAATGACTCGAGGTCTATTCTTGTGAAACATAGTTTAAAAGACAATGTTGACTTTTACAAGTGGAAATTTTAATGTGTCCTATTTTTCGGGTAAAAATGTCGCCCTAGAGACATTAGCAACATGTTATCCCCGCATTGTATCCGTTGTTTATCGATGATCAGCAGTAATCGATCAATAGTTTCTCGTTCTCAAACGTAAAATACTCTCTTTTTGCATTCCTGAAAGGTTAATAAATAACACGATGATGAAGAAAATATGATTGCTAAATAGATGAAATAAAAATGTTTTCCTGTGATTCGCAAATAGCAATTGCATGGTATTTTAAATTTTAGCGCCTAAACGATTTTTCTCTAACTGCAGCTGCTACAGAAAAGAAATTGATGTCTGAATATAAGATCATGTTCACTTGGTATTGTGTCCAAATCTCGAAAAAGAAATCTCGAAGAAAAAATCTGAAATAGAATAGTTTCGAAAAATTGAAATATCGAGGAAAGATATGTTGAATGAGCGGTTGTTCATGATAGTCATGATTATAAATATAAGATAGAGCATGTGGATAAGGATGTGGGAGCTGGCAGAGGCCTAACTTGATCACCAAGGCTGGGAACGTAGCGCTCCCGTCCAATACTTTAAAATCTCGAAGTAGGGGAAACGTAACGTCTTCGTTTGTATAGATGCATCTCTTAAATTCTGCTGAAACAGTTTGTCGATCTTATTTAACCAAATATAACAAAATTTTGAAAAGCAGAGGACGTCATCCCCCTTCCATCTTATTCACGTCCCTGGATGTGAGTGCCAGTGAGGATGCTGATCGTCTCCTCATATTCACATTCCATCCACAATCTCAAGAAAATAGTGTTTTTGAAACGGCGGACGAGAATGAGACACGATGAATGAAGATAGATGTTGCCATACAGACGATGTACAAAAAAGAGAAGAGAAACAAAAAGAATCGCCTGTGAACATAGGTCGTCAGACCAGATTAAAGAAAAAAACAAAAACACAACAGTCATACTAACATCTATTTTAATTGACCAAGTGATCGTAGAGTAAGGGGACATGTTTCATGATGCCCTTTTCTAAAATTCGATGTAGAAAAGTTTGAATTTTTATGTTTGAAATTTCATTTTTTTCTGGATTCTGTTTTTTGTGGTATAACTCTTTCGAAATAGTTTATTTGGGATTATCTATTTTCGGAATTTTGTCTTCCAAGATTTGTTTTTCGAGATTTGGACAGCAATTCGTTCACTTGACATGACTGACAAGATGTGATCCTTATGAAAAACAAACGGAACTAGGACTTTTCTAATAACTAACGCTTTTCATCTTTGAAATTCATTTCCTGTATGCCTCATACCTAGATAGTTCATCGTGATTCTAAAGAGAGATGCTTTTTCTTTTTATCTATCCCTGTCTGTTGCTTTTAAATGTAGTTTGAATTTAAGAAGTTATTCAATCTGAACAGTTCATCTGATTTAATATATACCGATTTTGGATGGTTTTCGTGTTAATAAAGCTTCATCGCCCATACTTAAATTGGTAAAAGGTGTATTTGTTGATGATGTTTCCTGCCGTTCAATACTTGCAGAGTTTGATATTTCATTGACATCAAGATTTCGTTTATGATACGCACCAACACATTGTATTGACTCATCTTCTTGATCAGTATCATCACCAGTAATTATTTGGCGATTATCAGTTGTTGTTGATATGATTTTCTTCTTCTTCGATGTAGGTTTATTGTCTTGCAAATGATCATCATCACTTTCTACGGATATACTAATGGTTGGGATTTGTCGTTCTGAATTTGTTGCAGGAGCACTGGCAGGTACACCACCGTGTTTTCGACGAAGAGTAAATTTTAAAGCATGCCGAACTTTACTCCAATTATTTCGATTTGGCCCAGATGACACAGCTGGAAAAAAAATGTTAAAAAATATTCTTGATATTTTTTTTAATGTCATAAATCTTCTTTTGAATTCACCTGAATGACTATCGGCTGGTTCGCATTGATTTTGATCGATGTGTGATACGGATAATGAATCTTCTTGGTTATTAATCGAATTTGTGCCTTCAAAAAGATATAATGTCATTTCTACTATAATGTACGTTTTGACATATCTCCGAACAGATAAATAATGAAGTTTCTGATCTTTTTTCTTTAAAATTATGCATCATTAATTAGTCCGCAATTAATTTATTGAAAAATCGTTTGAACTAGTCTCATCAATCTTTACATCAAATGAAAATAAAGGATACGTAGAAGATTGCTGGTTTTTTAAAAATTTATTGAAGCTAAGGTAAATCATAAAAATTTGAAATTATTTTCATTAGAGCTCTAGCCAATCTATACTGATGGGTTTCAAGAGGACTATTAGAGAATATATGAATATATGCTTTAATGATTCTTTCTAACTAACATTTTCGATTCAATGTAGAAAGAGGACAAGTGGCGCCCCCCATGACCTACTTTTCTCTGTAGGAGTTTATTATTCTTGTAATATATATTATCCAATTATTTCAGTTGCTATAAATAGATTATTTTCCTTCTAAAACTTCAGGGCAATCTTCTGAAAGGAGAAATCTAAACAAAACACTTGCTCTAGCAGTATAATGAAACAAAAATATCAGACAGCACTGGAATCAACGGGATAGTAGAAAGAGCATAGTGGTTAGTTACTAGAATGGGCGGGAGGCTCTATACCAAGGAATTTCAGAGGTGTGACTGAGGTCACCAGGTTCCCTATAAATTACGTCGATGGGTATACATGCTTTAGGCAAAATGATCTGGCTATCAAAATCATGTCCTGCATGGAGAAAACCTCGTCTGACATGAGACTAAATTTTGCATTATGAGAAAATAGTTTTTCTTTCTATATATCTTTGGCTTTGATTCTCTTAAAATTCAATAGCATTGGCTAAGATAGTCTTTTAGTCTAATTATTTCGAAGAGATCTGTTCCAAAAAGTATTTTACGCTGTTGTAATTTATCTACGTAGAGAAAACGTACAATCAATAGTTTAGTAAGCATTTTTCTTTGTCATTAAAATATAGTGGGAAATATCAGAATTGCACATACATAAAAAACAGACAAGATCGAAAGAACAATTTGATTAGTCTCTTTTTTTTGTTATAATGAGAAACGCTCATGTTTTACGCGAAAACGAACTAATTTAATTACCTTTTAGCTCTCGACGCAATAGAGAAGATTTATATTTCAATGAACTTGTTGGTGATAATGTGTCAGATTTTTCCTCGTCATGAATAAATGTGGAAGAAATAATTGGTTCATTTTTTTCCTTTTTCTTATCCTGACTATTTTTCAAGATAAAACGTTTTTGATATTGTTGAACATGTTCAACTAATTCAAGATTAGCACGTAATTGATTATTTTCAGATTTTAAATCATGAACTTGTTCAATAAGACGACATAAATTATTAAGCACAGATAATCCTACTGTTGTATAGCTATTATTATGCGGCATTAAGGGTGTTGATGATGATGACGGTGATGTAGATTTTATTCTTCCAAGGCCCATTTCTTTAGCAAATTGAAGAAATTCATTTGGTGTCGTCATTATCATTCTATAGAGAGAAAAAAAAAACAGAATAAATCATAATTCATATAATTATAATGAGTTTTTTCTATCATCAATTTTATCAATTGACTCCTCCTCATCATCATCATCATCATTTTGCCTTTCCCAACAACAATGGTAGAAAACACTCTTAACGATGGTTATATAGGCACACATCATCTTTATCTCTAAAACTTTCTATGTTCTTCATAAGCTTTAGCTATTCGTGTCTCCAACCGAGAATGATATCGCACGTGGTGATGACGAGTCTACTGATGATGGTTGATCGTTCTTTTCCAATTGGTTACGCTTATGGATATGTTTACCCTAAAAGACAAGCAACTAACTCGGTTTCCTTTTTCTTTTTTTTCGTATGAATACTGTTTGCATATAAAGAACATACAGCCTTTTAATAAGGTCTCTCTAATACCGTCATTTACGTTATTAGGCAATTAATAAAAAGGGAAACAAGATATACTGAATGATGGCTAATGTCAACGGTAAGATGAAAGCTTGTTGATAGCTGTATGTTTATGTTTGTATGGCAAATGCCGAAAAATAACAACCATATGTATCGATTTCGAAGTTCAAATGTATTATTTGGCGACGAACAATTAGGGATCAACTACGATGATATTTATATAGAATTATATCGTTTAACGAGAAATGTAAATAAACAAATTTTAGTAGAATCCAGGTGCAAAAATATTGTCTCGTAATTCGTCCGTTTAACAAACACCTGTGTATCATGACAATGAAGAATATTGATTTCTTCTATGAGTGCTCCTTTTTGTGTACTCAAATTGTCATGAAATTTTGTACACAGAATGATCTCATCAATATCTCAGTCGAGTTCGAAGATGAGAAGGATCCGTCAAGAAATGGCTGAGTTATCGAAAAAATTGTCATTATTGACCAGACCATCTCCNTGTACACAGAATGATCTCATCAATATCTCAGTCGAGTTCGAAGATGAGAAGGATCCGTCAAGAAATGGCTGAGTTATCGAAAAAATTGTCATTATTGACCAGACCATCTCTGAGGGGGGGGGTGGTACAGGGATTTTTTCTCAGAATTATTCACAACATATATATCAATCGACTCAGTTTTTGCAGTACACATAACAATCGGATGCAAATCCGATGTTTCCGCATTTATTTTATACTGATCATAATATTGTTTTTCTCGTAATATAATATGTTGTATCTGCATTATTATAGACAAGTAACATCTATTATAAAAACTATTTCAAAAGATTAACCTACTTTATTAATAATAATTGATAATTATAATGAACACAAACGTACTATTGCTTCTTGTTGGTTTCTTGTTTTCAAAATAAGAAATAGGTGTGTTTAATCACTCCAATATAAACTTCAAGAAGCAAATAAAATAAATTGGTATGTTCTTTTTTTATACGATGAAGAAGAAGAAAAGCTGCAACTTGTGTGGTGGTCTAATACTTCTGCTTGAATGTGCGATGCATCAAGAAACCAAATTCTAATGGGCTTGTCAAAGAAACAATAACATCGACGATGATAAAGACAAGTGCGCATAAGTATTTACTTAGTGTTTCGATAACCGTAACAATCAACATCGAATGATTTTCGGCTGATAAGTAAGTCGACTGGAGAAGCTTCCCTTAAGTTCTACAAGATTATTTTCTATTATTATTATTATTATTATTACTTTTTCTTTCTTCCCGTATGTCTTTTTTAATAAGCAGCAGTCTATTATCTTTTCTGTTTTTCATTCGTTACATTGACTACTATTTTACAAGACACAACAATGCAAAACCGAACGTCTTCGCCTTCCGTTATTTCTACATATCAACCTAATATCGTTTGTTTTTGACAATGACAGAAACGTAGAAGATCGTATCTCGCAAATAACAAACGATGTTGATCAACATTCTTTAAACATTTTCAATTAGATTACTATAATATGTATTTATTCAGCTTAAGACAAACATTAGTATTTTCTGTACACAAAACAAACAGACAAAATAAATATTTCATTACTAATAATTAGTAGTAGGTATATTGAGTACATTTTAGCATAGAAGTTGATAATCATTAAAAAAAGACTACAAAACAAAATAACCCTTGACGCGCTATTGCTTCTATTCATGGATAGAAAGTTTCTTGCTTGCCTTGGAATCAGAACAATCTTGTCATCATGTTTATCGTATCATATAGCAATGTCAAAAACTAGCTCGGTATATTTTAGACGAGCTTATTTATAATATATCTAATATTTCATACTTAATCAAGACATAGATTATAAAGTCATTTAGTCTATGGAAATCGTTTTTTTATTTATCTCTTTTAAAATAAAGAATAGTTAATCAAATTTAACGTATTTGTTGAATATCTGTTAGTGTTTTAAACATATATGTAATCATAATAAAAAAAACATTTCGAGCAAAACGTCACAGCAAAAAAAAAAGAACCTGCATAACAAAAACGAACATCGCGTTTGATATAAAATATGGAACTCAACCGAAAAATAGTTAGAGTCTTAGCCGTTTGTTTCTTTAAATTTCTCCCTCAGCAAATAATGACATGACTTGTGGAGCGGCTGAATCAAAGCCAACGACATCCAACATGCCTTTGTCATTAGGATCGGCAATAGTAAAACCGTTTGATTGCATTCCAACAACAATTAACTTCGCGTTTGGACGGTTCATCTGTTGACGATAGGCTTTTAACGCTTCTGTTGGATGGACTTTACCAAACCATGTTTCACTATCAGTATAAATCACAAATACATCGATTTGTTCTAAGAAAAACAAAATTACATTATAAGTTGAAAAAGAAACAAAATACTAAGATAAACATACCTTTGTTTTCAATAGCCCAAAGCATTGGTAACGCACAATCAGTAGCACCAAATGAAATACCACGTGTAGTTTCCATGACATTTTCAAGTTTAGATTCGGCTGAAATTTCAAGAGGAATAAGTTGGTGAGAAAAAGCCACAATCTACAATGACAACAGTATTTAATATAAGAAAATATTTACATATTTTTTTTATAAACTAATTTACCTTAGTATATGGTTCTGTGCGAACTGTGACCATACACATAGCTGCTGAACCAACGGCGGGTGTAATAGTTGGTGAACCATTAATTGTACAACCTGACATACTACCACTAACATCAAGTCCAATTAAATAACGTTGATTCGTAGGTTTGACATATTTAAATGAAAGATAGAATGCTTCTTCTAATGCAGTTTTAACATTGGAATTAATCTCCCATTCTAATTTTCCTTTGAAACCTTTACCACGTTTATATGTTTCCAAAGCAACAAGAACATTGAACGGATGAATACGTGCTCGTTGCAATTGTTCACGATTTTTTAATCGTTTAACAACAAGACCTTCTGCGTCACTATTTGCTTTTAATAGATCTATTTCAGACATTTTACCTAAAATAAAAATAATTATCGATTAAATATTGAGATGAAAAATATCAAATAAATTCTACTAACCTAAATTTCGAATCATAGCTGTTAATGGCATATTTTCTAATAATGCTGACCAAATAGATTTTGAACCAAGTACACTTGTTGGTAAATGTTCTCGAACAAGATGGTGTTGTCTAATAGCAGCGATAAGTTCTTGTTCATCGGTTGAGGTTTTAGCTTTTTCAACTATTTCTATGAATTCTTTTAATTGTTCTATAGTAACAAATTTCTTATTAATTATTTCTTCATTTTCCTCATTTTCATCAGCTAAGTTTGCTGGTTTTTCTAATGCTTCCGGATTGGTTTCCATTGTAGTATCATTACTCTGATCGTCTTTTGTTGATTCTTTTGGCTTATTTAAATTTTCAACCGCTTTCGTGTATCCATGAGTAATATAATCAAATAGAAAACAGAGTAAAGGATCTTTCGTAGCCGGATGTGCCAAACGAAGTATATCACGATGAGAATAGCCTTCACGATTTTGATATTTTGTTATAGCCATAGCTAATTTACTTGGGTTTTGTCCGGTATACCATTTTGATACAGCACGACGTTGAGCTCGACCCCAATTCTGGCCAAGAGCATGAGCATATTTAATAAACCTAAATAAGAAAAAAGAAAGAAACACGATTAACACGTAAAAAACCAAGTTACAAATTATAGCGTACATGAATAAATGAGTGGGAATACGGCAAATTTCAGGTAATGCATTATAAGCTGCTTGTTTTGTCGGTAAATCGGTAGATTTGGCACAAAGTGCTAACGCAAACATAATAGTATTTTGTTTTGATGTACGTCCTTCAAGAGAATAAGTTTTGATTGTATCGACAACTTCAACACCACGACCATCCTGAATTAATCTGAGCATAGCTGCAGCATTTTCAATACCAAGCTCTTTTTCACCCTGATAATATGTGCCACCTTCACTACCCAAACAAAGAAATCGTCGAAGCCGTTGAAGATCATCAACAGTCCAAGTAAATCCTCCTGAAAAAAAAATAATAATAAAAGTTTAAAAAAAAATCAAAAACTCAAACAAATAATATCATACCAGCATTATTTTGTACTTGATCGCTGGTTAATGGTTGAGATTGCGGTATTATATTAGTAGCCATAATAGGAGTTTATCTGAAAAATAAATCAGAATAAGTTAACAAAATTGTTCTTGCATTTTTACTGAAAATTTCAAAAATTACTCAAGAAAAAAGTTTTTCTCCTATCCATCTAAGTGTAAAATTAAAGATATCCTCTCGTTCGGGTTCACTATGTAATTCATGATAACAATTCGGCCAACCCATATAATCAATATTTTGTCCTCGTTGAGAAAATCGAAGGCTCGCTCTATGACATGTAATCGAATCAGCTTCACCATGTTGAATTAAAACTGGTATATAAAATACAGCATGTATTCGATCAAGTTTTGCTGCCATGCCACCGGCATGACGCGCAAGTGACAATGTTCCTGATCGGCGAACACTTTCATCAAGACCATATGAATTAATAATATCTTGATCGCGTGTTATTTTACTTGGATCAAATCGAAGTGGAACATTCATAGAAGGATGAAGTCGACAAGCAGTTCGAATTACCGAAAAAACAGGTCGCGGAGGCTGAAAAGGTCGAGCAAGCCGAATCCAAGGACTTGCAACTATTAATGCTTGATATGGACATAGATGCGCTTTAGTCAAAAATCTATCGAGTGTATACGCTAATACTAGACTTCCACCCATTGAATGTCCATAAAGAATAGTTCGGCATAATGGATATATTGTTTTTGCTTTCTTTATTAATAAATCTATATCTTGAAAGATTGCTTCAATGGATGGAATAAACACATGTTGTCCACCACTTTGACCATGACCACGAAGGTCCATTGCAACGATGGCCACATTATGTTTAGTAAAACATTCAACTAAGTGTTCATAACGAAGACTATGTTCAGCGAAGCCATGAATAAGAATTAATAAAGCATATGGTGATTTGGTATTTTTAGTCGGCCAATGGTAGCCAGCAAGTGAAAGACCATCATGTGAGAGTAGTGAAAAAGTATTCATATTGTGAAGATTAATGAGCCGTGAAACAAATGCAAACATCAACGCATTGCCTAATGCGACTATTTTTCATTTCTTTTTTTTTTCGATTTATTTACATGCATAGTCTACTAGTTGATATTTACTAGATACGTATATAGGAAGAGATACGAGTAAGAAAATCGAAAATATTGACGCATGTCTAATACATATAGGAGCGAAAATAAAATGCCTATTTGTTTTTCTACATGCTTCCGAAGTGAACTGCCCAACCTAATCAACTATTTTCTATGAAAACTATGTGCTTATGTTTCTCTTACCAAAAGTGTGATGGATATGCGAATGCATCAACATGTCCTACTACCTATATATATATATATATATGAATAAATAGTATTGCACAAGTAACACTCAACACTTTTCTTCCGTATAAAAAATTACAAAACATTTCATAATGTTGAAGAAAAAGAGGAAAGCTTTTTATTTTTGTCGTCATACATGATGCGAGAGAAAATAAATGATTATTATGTCTGCAATAAAAATACATACGAGTAAACAATCAACAATTACTCGAAGAAAGAAATCAAGGGAGTTGAATAAAGATAAGAAAGAAAAAAATACTCATTGGATGAATATCTGATCTTGCTCCATCTCTCTTAACGATAATAAAAGATGGTGCAATTATGTAGACAAATATTTCCGACAAAATGTTATTCTAATAGTAATTGCATTTATTGATTGCATAATTTTTCATGGAAATATTTCCTGTTAAAGCATAATTGTCGATCTTTTATTTTTGTATGAGATTACTCAATAAATGTTACATTCAGCGTCATGTTATTGCGAAATGTCGGATAAAAAATGCATCATTCGTTTTCTGGTGTTACTTCTCAATTCTCGAATTTCGTTTTCACGCATAATTTCATCCGAGTTTTTTAGAAATTTCTGTTCAGACACTCGTATTTCATAGTTTTAAAGTGAAATCTGTGTAACATTAAAATAATGCTGAAGGAACGGACTGCGACAATGTATCATTGTGTTGTTATTTTTGTTACACCAGAAATAAATCATGTAGAGTTTTACTCTTGTGAGAATCAAAAAAAATAGCATCCTAAGAAATAAAATAAAACTCATTCAATAGTCTAACTGTAATTTCCACGTATGACCAAAAATATTTTCTACCGCATTATTAAATGCAAGACTAATCGCAGCTGATAATTACGTCAACATAGAAAATGTCACTTTACCAAAAGATAATCTCAGGCAATAATTTATATGTACAAAAATTTGATTCGTAATAGAATTCGAACTCAACTTAATGTTTTTCAACAGATCAACTACAAATCAGAAACTGCCTTAATTTAATCTGTAAATATAAAAATTGCACTCATCTGTCTGAAATCCTTACAAGTCATTATGATCACAAATCATTTTGCGGTTTCCAGCATATAGATCTGTCATTTACGAAAAAATTTCATTCACCCGACAATGTTTAAATTCTAAATATTACCGACTACTCCTTGAAGTCTACAAGAAGCCCTGATAATAGTTTCCTCGTCCCCAAAATCATACGAGAACAACTTCGATTAGTTTAACATGCTACTAAACAATCGTGCCCTATCAACATAATCATTTAGTAAACACATAAAAATTGTTTATGCAAACTGCCTTTGATTGTATATATTAGATAGAGAAACAAATACTGTATGTAATTATATTAAAGTCTATTGTAAGTGATAGCAAAAGTAGAAAAGAAACATTACATAAAAAAAATACAAAACATTATACAAAAATTAGAAGAACATCAATAGCACATTAACTTTATCATTTGAAATCTGACGTTGATTGTTTTGAAATCGAGCACCATTTCATTCATTCTTTTTTTCTTATTTATTTTTATCTTTTACTTTTTTTTTCTGATATTTTTTTACTTTTTTTTTAAATTTTTTCCTTGTTTTTTTTAAGTATTTTTTTTTATTTTTTTTAAATATTTTTTTTTTGCTTTTTTTCTTTAAGCATTTTTTTTTTATGAAATGGCGGAAAAGCCGACTGTTGACATGTAGTGAAGACATGTGTGTTCGTTCATCGTGTCCTATAGCTCTTTTTTTTTAAAAGAAAAACAAATCGATTAGTTATCCATGAATAAACGAATAATAAAAAAACAAAAATTTTCATCCGCAATTTTTTTCAATGTGTTTTCTTAATTTTTTACCACAACAATGATAAAGATATAACGTACAGAAAAAACAACTACAATTGACAGAGACAAAAAAGCGAAATAACATTAGATTTTCCTCACCGAACGAAATAGATATTTATTTATTTATATATATATATATATACGTATATATAAATATTGTCGTCCATGTCGTATTTCTCATCTATTTCGTATAATGATTACAATTTTAATAAGGTGGAAAAGTATAAAGTGAACGGCCACGTGGACTAATAAATAAAAAGATATATTGTTATAGTTTTAATTTATATGCAAAATTCTATACCGAAATATAGGTCGACCAAAACGGCCACGATATGGTGCAGATACATAAGGCATAAAAGCTCCACCGCCACGTGGAAATCTACCACGTCCAAAGCCACGCATTGCACCACGAGGTGGTCGATCCGTTGTTGAAACGCCTGGACGATTGGTTCGTTTTTCAGTAACCTACATATTATTTCGTTTAATAAACATAAATGATTTGTGGAAACTTACTTTGATTTGTCGTCCTTTGAATAAGGAATCATCAAGTGCAAGAGCCGTTTGTACAGATTCTTTATCAGAAAATTCAACATAAGCAAAGCTAAAATAAAGAAATATTTTTTGTATACTTTCTGCAGAATATATTTGCGAGTGAAAGCTATGAGAAAGATTCTCCATATAATGAAACCATCAGAGCGCTATTTTTTCATATTTAACTCTAACGATAGTTGATCATTCCAAATATTTACCCTTTTGGTTGTCCAGTAAATTTATCACACAAAATAGTTACACGATGTATTGATCCACAACCATGAAAATGAAGTTCAAGTTCTTGTGCTGTTGCTGAATAATCAACCTATTCATACAAAAATATAGAACATAAATCTATGAGGCGATTATATTTTACAAACATTTCCGACATAAACTGATTTTAGATCGGCTTCCATTTTTTCTTCCATTGTTGGAAATGGTGCTGATTAGAAAAAAAAGAATATTAAAAGAAAGATACAAACATAATGGACTGGACAAAAAAAATACCTGATCCTGTAGAGCCAGGTGTTGGTATGTGTTTATCAAAATCAACTTGTATTTGTTTCAATTTTTCTGCTTCTTCTTCCATTTCTTGTATACGTTGACGCATCGTTTCAAGTTCAGGGTCATCGTTTAATTCGGATGAATCCAAGAGTGAGTCGGAAAGACTATCTTGACGTTTAGGACTGAGAACAATATCAGGACTGATTGGATGAATTCCATTGTTACTATTTCCATTATATGCTGTTGTACTGGTTAGATCCATTTCGGTAATGAACAAATGATTAATTTGTTTGACAAATGGGATGAACTATTACAAGTGACTGAAAAGATGCAAAAAAATCAACAACAACAAATGAAGAAATAGTGAAAGGAAATGATCAATGAGTATTATTATTGGCTATTTTAATTTCTACCGAATTTAGTCTTAGAAGTAAAGAAATAATTTAGATAAAATTGAATTGCTTTAAAAAAATGTCGTTTTGTAATAATTCTTGCTTAGTTTTAATAGATATTACTTCTAAAAATCTGATTGGATATAAAATTAGCCAATCTAATTAAAGGCAGTATTTTCAGTTTTTTGCTCAATTTTATTAATAAGAAATAATACTCAATGGTATAATTCGAATGAGGCTAGCAGATGATCGTACTAATGATTGTAATTAATCATTCGAATCTTAGAATTTATTCCTCAAATATGATATTGGGCGTATAGAAGGCCACAAATTCAATACAACAATCGACTCTATTGAATATTATAATTATATATTCCACATGAAAGACTATCTTCTCAGAAAAACAGCTTCAGTATGCTGATATTTTACTTTTACTTGATTCGATATAAGTGCAGCAGCTTGGTATTTATGTTGAAAAAAATCGATTTGTTTCTATGAATTATTCAGTAGATAAGTCAGCTGTCTCATTACTTGTTGTCAACGAATCAAATATATCTCATGTTTTAATAGGAAATTGGGTCTAGGTGTTGATTTAGAAGATACGAAGAAGCATACCCATATACTTTTTTTGCGACGTATTCACACCTATCGACATTTTCCGTCAATTTGTATTATATATGAAGAATTCTTGTTCAATGAGAGATATGGCTCTATCATCTCTACAGAGTTTTGATGCACAATGATTATATTTCGCTTCTGATTCTATTTAATCGGTCTGAAAATTTTAGTTCAAAGAATCCAAACAAGTAATACGACGTAAGCGTCGCGAATCCTCTAATGATAAACAAATAATACAAGTTTTGACGTAAGAATTCAGCAATGCTATTTTCCATGTCTTTCTGTAGTGATAAGTGTATCCAACGTGTTAGCTATTGTCGATTGTTGGATGACCTTTTGTTTAGATTCAATTACTAAAAACCTCATTGACAGTTTCATAAGTAATATATTGCTTAGTTCGAGAGAGTTTTTAACATTTAATTTTATTCTTTTAATAAACCATAGGGTCATGAGAAGTCTATTCTGTCGTTTTGAAACCCATGAATAAGAATACCGTTTGAATTAGATTTTATCCTTACAAGCGATCCAAATATGAAATTATTGCTAAACGATAACATCTCAGGTACCTCTTTGTAGGGGAAGACTGTAATGTGGCGTTACATGAGGGTTACTTAAAGATATTATATCTTCAACCTCTGAATACAAGCTTGAAAGTTAAAGTTCGATGACTCATAGTTTGTCCACCATAAAATTGTTATAAAGTCAATAATAAAAGTTTGATAAAGATCAAATATATTCCTAGCTTACCACGCATGATGATAAACCTTTCTTAGTTAAATTCAAGTAGATGAGTCAAAGAGCAACTCTTTACAGCACAGATCTCCATGAAAACAGTGTTGTTTGACTTTGTTGAAAATGATGTGTTAATCTCGCTCATAATACCATTTCGCTTTTCTTTTCATAAGTTTCCTTTGAGCGAAAATTCTGCAAAAGCTAAGATTCAGAATGCACTATCTCTACGAGAAAGAGCTGAGCGAGTCCACAGGCAAGTGTTACTTGTAATCATATAAA